ATTTGGTTATAGAACTGAAGACAGATAGCTCAGGTTGTTCAGATGGCGGTTGAACTGTTCACTGAGCTTGGAATTTTGTTAGAGTGCACTCTAACCTAGATTCCTTCCTCTACGCTACTCTACACTACTGCACGCCACGCAACTACGCACTGATGATGTCAACTCGATTGGTGAAGAAAAATTTGCAACAAAATTGCCAAGCTCAGCGAACAGTTCAACCGGCGCAAGTGCCTTTTTCAGCTGAACTCACAATTTGCTGTATGAACATGTAAACAGCCTAGGCACGGAGAAACGGGATAGTCCTCCTCTCCAAACAGCGGATGAACTTACTCTGACCAAGAAGGATGCGGCGAATAGCCTGTGCCTGAGATACGCTCGAATCTTTCGGTGAGTTCCGTAGCCAGCTAACCCTATAGAAAGTGTTCTTTCATTATCATTACTCAGCCATATGCTCTTTACGTCACAAGCTGTATTGAAAGTTGTTGTTGTTGTTGAACGAAAATTGTTGCTCAGCTAGTTCGGAGTTGATAATATGCACCCCAAGTCACTTGCGGCGACGAGAAAGAGCTTAGCTGTGTCTTTGTTTTAATATTCTTGGGGTTATTTGACGAAATGTACGTGCCTGACAAGTGGAAACGCTAATTTATTACTCCGATTCTCAAGGAAGCTAAGCGTTCCGATCCAGCCAATCACCGTTTTGTAACCCTCCAACCGGTGCTTTCAAACGTCATGTATGTCGTGTTTGCCGATACGCTAACGGCCTACTTGGAAGAGTTCATCTACCTTGCACCGGAACCGCATGCCTTCCGATGAAATGGATCGTACACTACAACGCTACTGTTGGCACGATGCAGCCGGATTGAGATAGTAGACGCAGGTGCATAACTTGTTACAAGTTAACTCGACTTCTCAAAGTCATTCAACCGGTTAGCCCATAATATGCTTTTCTCTAAACTGCAAAGCCTTGGTATAGGTGATCTTCTCCTAGGGTTGAACAGAAACTTTCTCCTGCACTGGCTCTAGGCGATACGAGTGTGCGAATCCCCATCAGATCCCATCAAGTCGAATATGGAGTACCAAAGAGATCATTACTGGGGCCATGGTTGTTTTCACATATTTCAAAGACATTACACACCTCATAGGCTCGAACTACCTGCTCTACGCCGATGACATCAAGGTGTGGGGGCAATGAATGCGCCAGATGCTATTTCAGTGTTGCAAGCCGATCTGCACAAGTTTTACGTGTGTTCAACCCAGAATCGACTTCGGTTCGATGTGGAAAATGTAGACTGCCGCATTTAAGGCACCAGATAGCGTGCTGTAAACACTGGGCAACCAGGAGGTTCAAACGTCTTACGGCGCAAAAGATCTGGGTGTTTTAATCCAAGTCGACCTAAGCTGTTCGATTTACGCTGAAACGGCATCAGCAATTCATCTGAAACGTTGGCCTCTTGCGGCGCGTATTCGGACGCTCCGAACCGTCGCTTTTTCAACAGCTTCTAAGCTTATACATACGTCCACATGTGGAATACGTAATGCAGGTCTGGCAGCCAACGTTGAGGAGAGGTCTCACCGTTCTGAAGATACGCAAATGCCGGGTAACTAAGGGCGCCCAAGACTTATACTATTTGCCGCATGAACAAGGGTTCTGAGTGCTCGGGGACTTCAGTGGACAATGGCAGCGATTACGTGGTGACCTTAGTAAGAATTACCAGAGTTTGAAGAAGTCCGACCACACGTGACACCATTAGCTGGAGCTCAATCACAACAGCAATTTGAGAGGCCACTACCTCAAACTTGCAGAGCAGTACAGTCGTTTGGAATGCTGTCGGAATTGGTTTTTCGTACTGGTTAGCCAAGCGTGGAATGTCGTCTTGGAATCTATCATTTGTGATCCAACGCCGTTTGGGTTCAAAGTCAGAGTTGACCGTGCTCCATCTCACATAACCCCTTGCCCTTGAGCAAATACGAGTGTCCATTTGAGGTTTCACTGCTCTTTAGCCCCAAGAATAGGTTCCATCTTTTCCTAATTCTATACGTGACAATCAGTAGATAACACAAATTTTACAGTCGCCACATTTGTCATCATTTCTTATGGATTTACCGTGAATTTACAGCTTTTGATGCGGCTACCTCGGTGAGTCCACCGGTGGGAAGTCACATTTTGCTGACACATTGTTCAAATTTTGCAATATTCACTATCCTACGGGATCTGTTAAACTTTAGCATTTTTACCCGCATTAAACCACAGTTCCATGATGGATGCAATTTGCGAATTGAAATCGCTGGCCCCAATGTGTTAGGAAGGAAAACTCTAGCTGAACAACAGAGGCGCCCATCTTCGTTACGGAGCGAAGGCATGGCAGCTGAGCCAAACACGCCGGCACTGATTGGGGCGAACAGATAGTCAACCGCCGGAAGCAGCCAATTAACACAAGGGTGGCATTACTTGATTGGCCCTAAGTTGACTCCGCTGCAATTTTCCACGTGCGCATTAAATACTGTTGATCAACTTATGATTTTACCTTTATAGTGAAAGGTATGTTTGGGTAATATAACCATGTTCCTCTGCTCGTCTAGTCCGGTCTTCTCTCTCTTCTGGGCGGGGGTCAGTGACCTCTAGTTCCGATTGATAATCAACCGTCAATGCAGGTGAGAGACGACCACTTCACAATGAGTACTACGGCGAGCGCAAGATGAGGGACTTGAATTGTTCAGTGATCATGGATTGTAGGCTCGAACAACCATGGGGTCAGGATTTATCAAAGTATACTCGGATAGTTTGGTTGCGATAGAGCAAATTCGGACATTAAGTAGGAGAGTACTAATTATTCTGCCTATTTCTTCAAGGGATGTTAGCTTAGCAACCAAATGTTAGGTTGCTTGCTTGGAGTGTTTACAGTGCGCGCTCCGCATGATTCAGAATGGTGTTTATGGAATGACCGAAATCTAGCCATGTAACACAACTTTCGGAACGGTTAGCATCTGTAGGACTGGTAAGTATCAGCCCCCATCAGGGCATGTAACCGAGTACCAATATCATCAGAATGCCAATGAAGCCGAACGAAGTGGACTTATGCGAAGCGGCTACAAGGAGAGGTGAAAGCAAAAGGCGGAGAGAGCAGTACAATAAAGATAAGCAATGTACAACCTAGTCGTAGTAAACCTGTACATAAAAGATAACAATTGGTTATCTCCGCATCGGTCCTCTGAGCCGTTCGTAAATTGCATGGCAGTGGATAAGACGCAGTATATCGCAGTTAGTTGCAACTCGTGTTGGTGGAGAGCTGTACCCCTTGGCTCAGTGACATAACGTGATTGCTGGTGATGCAGGCCCCTAGTGCCTAAGGGCACTGGTTCTGATGGAGCCGATGGGTGCGCACTAACGACAGGTCCAGACGGGACCAAAGGGTCGTCTAGTGCTCTTCCGGCCATGTGGAATGCTATCTGATTTGGAAGCTGCTGCGACGAAATCTAAATTAACAGACAATCCTGTTTGAATGTTCCGCACTAAAATAAAAGTGCTCGGTTTCTGTCTTTCCGTCATTGCGCTGCCAGTCATGTGTAAGCGATTGTTTGTTGGGTAACTATGATGGTCTCATCGGTATTGCGTATGTGGGATAGGGGTTTGTGGGCACTAAGAAAGACATGTAAAAGATGAACCAGGTCCATACATAGAGGTGGTACGTTGAGCACGGCATGTAGTTTAATCCCGCGCCGTTTATAGAGCGACTCTCTTGTTGGGGGAATATATCAATCATACATCACAAATATTAGTGCTCTCCACTTCGAAATTCACACTACAACAGGCGTGAACAGCTTACGAACGTGCTCAATGGTGGGAGCCGGTAGATGCAGGTCGCGTAATCATGTAAAGGGAATCCCCACGACCGAGAGATTAAGAGAGAATCAGAGATGCCGCCAAATTGTCTATTGAGAGTCATCCCTAATTGTCATGCAATGTATGCAACACGATGTGTTCGTATTTGCACGGAACTAGTAGCAGTCTACGAAATGTTGGCCTAAACTTTATTCACGTCAACGCCGAAGCAAAATATTTCAACTGCAATACCTGGAAAAATTGGTGAATTTCATTAAGGCCTTTGGTGAGACACGATCCATGCCTTCGGTTCATACAATCAGTACATTAGCGTCTCTTTCACTAAAATTCAGTCACGTCAGCTCTTTGCGCATTGCTTACGTCCATGTGTGGCTTATAGGTTGTGCAATGAGACGAAGTCTAACTGAGCTATGTGGTTACATGTAGTTCGGGTCTTGTTTAGCTACAAACCGTAGGTACCGCCTCTTGCCCCAAGGAAGACTGGCCGAGAGACTCAGTGGTTGACTCTCCCAATCTCTTGGGTTCTTGAGAGCTGACGCTGTGCAACCCATAAAATTCACAAAATAGCCCCGGACTATGAATAAACCAATGAGATCTGATACACTGAAGACCAAGAGAAGTCCTTTAGGACACACCCCATTAAAATTGTAGAGAAACAAGTTTAACTGGTAACAAGGAAACATCAGTGATAATACTGCTGATAAAGCATATGACTGCAAGATAAATACCAGTGCGCAGTGCTGTATCGCCGCCGAGTGCTCACACCCTACGACCGCAAGGAGAACACAGAAGACGAGTCAGGAGAGAATTGCATAGATGAGAAATTTGTTTCATCTCAATAAGGCATAGCAATATTTGAATCGAAGCCACTAACACGTTGAATCCAATCAGAAACCTAGACGACACTAAGTTACACCGGTGAATGCGAAGTGATAACATTAAGAACCATCAGTGGTGTCCGATAAGACGGCATTAGTGGAAATGGGGCACTGAAATCATATCTATTACGATCAATGTATACCGGCCAATCTAATCAAGGAAATGATGCGTTTAAATAAATATCAATGACCAATCGATAACGAAATGAAGGCTGGCACCTAAGAATTGTCACACACACAATATATATGTCAATTAGGCACCGTCATGACACGCAGGAAGTATGCAGTCCACTCTCATGACCAGTGGTGACTTAATCTTTATAAACGCGAACCATTTCAGTGTGAGACTGTGCAGCGTTGATTTACAGAAAAACCACAACAAGAGTGAAACGCTTGCAGTGTGTGAGTGGCCTGATTTCGGTTAAGGCCATTCGCAGAATGCAATAAAATCACACTTAAGGTACTCGCAACGAAATCCTACCACGAATAAACGGCTACTTGTTACGCCTACTGCACTTAAAGCTAGAGTTATTACGCTAGCCAAGGTGTACAAACGGCACCAGTGGGGACACGGGTTCGCATCGCACCCAGGCAGTCACTAGTTCCCGGGATGAAAGAGGACCGAGCTCGCCACCAGGGTTTAGTAGTAATACCAGTGTTTGGTTAAAATTATCTCTTCATAAACAGTACTGCGTAAAGGAAGAATTGTTAAACATCACAGTCAGTGTGGACTATAGAATTTGCCAAGCACGTTAGCATAGCATGCAAAAGCAATGCTCTTGTGCTTCGTTGCTCTACTACTCATGTCAACTGGTAAGACCGTTAGTCTCCGGATCAGTGGAAGTAGTTACTCAGTATCCATTCCAACAACTTGTTTCTGTAATTATGGGCTTATTCCATCCTGTTTAGGTGAATGAAGGTCGACAGTAAAGCTTCGGCGACAGCAAGGCGAATGGAAACGTTTGTGAATCAGAACCCGATTTCGCATCACATTTTCGCACCTCTTAGAACACTTAGTTGGTTGTGCTATCATTTATGTTGCAACTGTTGCAAAGTTGGTTGAAAGGATGTACTTCATCAGCCTATTTGTGATTGGGCGGCTGATCACCTTCAGTACACACCTGACATAATGCATAGCGACACATTTTGCTAAACTATTGTACAGTTCTGAGGCAAAGACCAGTCACACCAGAGTCAATGAATGAGCGGAATGTTCGCAGCAACTTGAATCAAATTCCTCAGTAACCCAGCGCCCCTCCCCGAGGGTTCTGCATTGGTCGAGAAGATGTATCAGTAACAGCCAGGCTCAAGTTGATTGGATAGCTGGTACGGAGCACCAACATAGCCTGCCGGCCAGTTAAAAGGAATTCTAGCAATGAATCTGTGTGAAAAATTTCTTCTCAATTGAGTGAAAGCGAAGTTTAGTAAGTTCCAAGCTACTAGTTGGCTATTTTTAGCATTTTTGGCAGTGCTGGTTTTGACAATTTTGTATTGATGGAACAAAAATGAACAGATGCGTTTGTCAAGATTGTCCCATATAAACAACTGTAGTCCTCTTTACATAGTTCAGTAGTGTATGCTTGGATAAAAGCCTAACTTTTCAAGACGCACAGGATAGAAAACGTACACGAAGCTTAACATGAAAATGTTCCAACGTGGGACGTGAATCATCAGTAGCTACAACATCGTAATTTATCACACTGTTGTGTAGGGTTTAGCACTAAGCTGAAAGTTTAGAAGTCTCTTGATTGTCGCGATGTCTGATGCGTTCCCCACTTGGGTTGGTAGTGCATTTCGATGGGAACAGACTCCAAGAGAGTAATAAAACTTTCTACAATCCAAACGCGAGTGTTGCGTTACTTGTTTCAGGTGATGGCTTCAACATTGTTCGTAAGGGGCTTGGAGCAACACCGGTGGTCGGTTTCTGTTAGAATCCGGTATGTGGGAACGAGATGTCCACGAAGTCGTCAGTATTCTGAGGAGAACTCACAGAACAAACGTAGGCGTAGTTCGTAACTGAGACCGGATAGTCCACGTGTTAGCTTGGTAACTCTTTCTTGGGGTTTCTCCAAAAGACGAATATATCCTTTTAATCACTAGCGCCAGGCCTGAACCGTATATTTCATCACATGACTCAATGAACAGGTTAGATGATAATTTGGCCCTTCAGCTATAGCAGGCGACTAATATCAATCCAGCACGACTTCTTGTCTTTCGATGATGGACACCCGAGGAGGCAGCCAAGCAGAATAAGTTGAAGTACAAGACAGGAAGCTGAACCGAGTGTTGCCACACGTGCACAATGAGTCTAAAGCGAGTTCTGAGCGACTTGTAGTGATTTCTGCATGGGGCTCTTGCAGCTGGACTTTGCTAGACAGCCACCAACAATCGATAAGGATTCGGGCTACTACTTGATCCCATTGTGACATATCAGCAGATTATAGATCAATTGAATCATGCGGGATAGGATGTCTTGTCTATTCTCTTTCTGAAGAGACCACCTAGATATGCACACGTAAGTAGCTGTGGCCTAACGCTGTTCATCTACCATTGGTATAAATTGCGCAGCGTCGACTGTTACTCCATAGACAGGTGGGGCGCAAGCCGAAGTGTTATTAACAACAACAACAACGACGATGACGACGACAACAACAACAAAACCAACAACAATTACTACTATCATACTACTACTGCTACTGCTACTCCTCCTCCTCCTACTATTACTATTACTACTATTACTACTACTACTACTACCACTATTACTACTACTACCACTACTACTAACACTAATACTATTACTACTATTACTACTGTCACTACTATTACTACTACTACTACTACTACTACTACTACAGCAATACATCAGCCATTTGAACTGATGCTTCGCTGTCATACAACCATGAGGACCTATGAAATAAAGAATAAGAGGTAGAGAAGGGGGACTTGCCTGGAAACCTTAGTGCCCTAAGCAGATATTCAGAGTCAACGCACTTACACCTTGTCTAGACAACACACCGTCACAAACAGCTGGCTATCGTGCAAAGATAAGGCGGCATCGGCGAGACAGCATCCTTGCGGCTTCCACTGCGCTGCGTCATAATCAGCCATTACCCCGCAGATAACTCCGCACCAAACACACTTTTAACAGGCAATCCTATTAGGAGACGGCAGCAGACGCGCCACTAGTGTCGGTTACAAGTCATGTCCTGTAAAGTCTCGAGCCAAGCACAAGGTGAGTCTAGTGGACTCCAGCCCGGAAGGTGAGACAGACCAACGGCATCAAATTTGGTCGTCAGGTTGTTGATTTCCCGCTGCCAACTCAACTTCTATCCACCACGTGCCTTGCGACACCTTACACCTGGCAGAATAAACTAGGCCCTCCTTGGTAAACGGTGACTACACATACGTAGCATGTGCTCGAGTCAACGCAATTTATCCAGTGCTATCTGTTGTGCTAGGGATCTAGCCTGATTATGACTACCTAATACTCGCCCACGCACGCCATCTTTGCGGACACGCTGGTGACACCCGACACAAGCAATACTTTGTAGACAACGAGGAAGATGCCTCAGATATTCTGACCAAAGGGGCTAAATCTCAATCCCATAGAGCAAAAAGGCCACACAGTGGCCTTGTCCACACGGCCTTCCAGACGGAGGAAAACTCCCTCCTGCCGCCAAAAATACCGCAGGTTCAAGAAGGCAGCTTTGGCCTTTGCAATGCGTGAGCTGACGTCAGTTTCCATGCGCCCGACGTTGCTGATTCAGCTGCCGAGATAAGTGAATTGATCAACCACTTGGAGTTCCTCGTTAGCAAGGGTCAAGGGGTCATCAAGTGGTTAGTGGTTAGTGGTTTTGCAGCGACACCTTGTACTTTGAAGGTGCAAAGTGCATACCAAATAATGGGACCACTCTGGATAGGCTATTCAGGGTTGACTGTGCCGCCGCAACATCGTCGAAAAGCAAGACGATATCGTCTGCATAATCTAGATCAAGTAACCTTTCACCAGGCAGCACTTCGACGCCTACATCGTTGGCTTCCGTAATGGAACACTCTATGACAGAATCCACGACGAAATTGAATAAAAATGGAGAAATCGGACAACCCTGACGAACGCCACCTGTGGTCGGAAAGCTGTCGGATATGCCACCGTAGACCCTGACGCGGCCTGTAGTGTTCGAGTATAGAGCACGAAGGATGTTCACATATTTCGTGGGAACACCTTTCCGCGCAAATATTTCGAACAGAATTGATCGATGAACTAAATCGAACGCACTCTTGAAATCGAGGAGCACAGCTTTGTCGGTCTGCGGTATGCGTGGCGCTGCTCTAGCACATGCCGCAGGGTGTATATATGGTCTATACAGCCATGTCCTGGACGGAAACCGGCTGGCACTTCCCTAATCCGAGATTTCCCTTCCACAGTGAGGCAACGAACGAGAATCGAGGGCAATAATTTTGTCACAACTGGCGTTAGGCTAATACCCCTGTGGTTCGCACAGTCTGTGCGACTGTCCTTCTTGTACATTGTCACTATAATCAATTTGCTCCAATTAGCCGGGACACTCACTTCCTTTCAGATACGTTCGAATAGGGAGGTCAGTGCTTTGTAGAGGCCCTCACCTCCATCCTTAAATAGTGCAGGTGGGAGGGAATCCGGGCCGGCAACACGAAAACAGTTAAGGGCTGTGATGGCGTTTCGGACCTCGGCCTCGGACAGTGGTTCTAAACCAACCGTCCATAGCTCGTCCTGCACCACAGTAGGATGCAGTCCGGAAGCAGGGGTCCAGCTGAACTCATCTTGGAAGTGTTCCGCTCAAGGAGCCATACGGCGCTGTCTCTGATTGTCTCACTGACGCCTGGTTTTCTGGGACCAGTAGTGCGGATCAGCTGGAAGAGCTTGCGATAATTGCCTACTGCTCCTGCCTCCTCCATTACTTGAGTCCGACTGGTCCATCAGGCTTCCTTGTCAGCACGTAGGCTCCACTTTAGTTCGCGCCTAATAGCCCGTCTGGTCACATTGTGCTCAGAGCCAGCCGGGAGGTTTCTTCTAAATTCCAACAGGTTCACCGACCTCTCGGATATCCAGTGACTGGTGCGGTGAAGATTGATAGTGCCACAAGCAGATGCTATTACGTCTTGCATGGCGGCCGAGATCCTATTCCTCTGAAGCTCAGTGTCCTTAGAACAAGACAACGAACGTTCGATACGCAGTTCGTCTTGATAGGTTTGTCTGACCGAGGGCTGGGACAATTTCTCATTTGCCAATCGGAGGAGACGCTTGGTGCGCCTCCCGGTGAAGTTCATGGAGAAACGACAGCCTACCTAGGCATGATCACAGTCGACGCAGGTATTCCATCTTTCTCCTCCCAAACTCACCAAGTGGTCGCAAAAACTGCCCTCCTGCGTTATTCGTCCTCAAATCTTCGGATATATTCTCAGAGACTTAAGTATTATCATTCAATTTGGCTGCGCGAGCTCCTCCTACCACTGTTCCTCTTTTGGATCTGTCATTTTCGGACCACCAGCAAACTGTGCTTTTGCAATTTCGAAGTCAACCTTACTTGAATTTTATTGGAGAATTTTTTTCCTGTCGTCGCTCAAGAACTCTGGTCTTATTTTAAACATCTTTTGAGAGTCACCCGAACATCTTACTGCCACTCCTTCTAGTCGCTGTAGAAAGCGCTAGTTGTCAATTTGGTCCGCCTTTGGTGCAGTCACTGTCGCCATTAGACAGTATTTTCCAAGTCATCCTGCTTTGCCTCAATCCTACTCTGCATCGCTGCCTATCCACTTAACGGGCTGGATCAGTAGCACGCGCGTCGCCTATCTGCCCTAAGGAACGTGTGCCTCATCTGGACGCGACACGTCTGACCCCCCTGATCTCAAACCAGCGCCGATCGCCACGCAACGGAAACTGAAGCGAATTCATACACGGTGCGTCAGTATCTATATGCTTTTGCCATCCCTGTTGTAGTGCACAAATCCAGTTGCTCCATTCAATCTTTTTATTGGGGAATCTTTACAACATATCGCCATCAGCTACGGTCATTCCTAATTCGCTGCCCCATTACTCACCGTGACCCCATATATCAGTAGAATTATTCCATTCTAAGTTAGTGGTAAGTGAGATATCTACAACATAGATTCTGAACTCTCCTTTTCTATCTAATCCCTTTTGGAATTGGTGCAAATCACAATAACAAAGTACACATTTCAAGTGTATTTGGCCCATTTGAAAGTCAATTTTAACCTATGTGTAAAAACCGTTAAGTCTGGTCCTGTTTGCTTTAACTATCAAAAAGCGTACCATTCGAAGTCTTTAGGGATGAATGAACTCGTAAGTAGACAATACAGCAGCAAAACCGAACCGTTTTGTTTCTGCCAGGTGTGCAAATTCATTACTATTGTCAGCTGTGTAATT